GTGTTCATTTTACTGCAAGCCAAGGTCATCAGGAGATAGTTTAGAGCCCCCGGGACTAGAAAATATCCCCCAACTTCCCGTAAATCGAGCTGAGGTTATGCAAAATCACGATGCGCGTAAGACGGTCTCGGCTACTCTTTCAGTCTTAAAGTGAAGTGGGGCAATATTTCGGCCGAGAAGCTCGAAAGTGAGCGTTAAAAAAGCTTTGCTGTGTCCATTTCGCTCCAATCCCAAGGCCCTCAGGGGTTAGTTTAGAGTCCCCGGGACTGGAAAATATCCGCCAAGTTCCGGGAAATCGAGCCGAAGTTGATCAAAATCAGGATGCGCTTAACGCGGTGTTGGCTACTCTTTCAGTCTTAAAGTGTAGTGGGGCTATATTTCGGCCCAGAAGCTCGAAAGTGAGCGTTCAAAAAGTCTCGCTGTATCCATTTCACATCAAACCAACGCCAAGAGGAGTTAGTTTAGAGAACCCGTGACTGAAAGATTTCCCCCAAGTTCCTGGAAATCAAGCCGAAATTGGTGAAAATCACAATGCGCTTAAGGCGGTCTCGGCTACTCTTTCTGTCTTAAAATGAAGTGGGGCTATATTTTGGCCTGAAAGCTCGAAACCCAGCGCGCGATCGTTTTCCTTCTGTCAATTTTTCTCCAAACCAAGGCCATCAGGAGTTAGTTTAGAGTCCCCGGGAATGGAAAATATCCGCCAAGTTCCAAGAAATCGAGCCAAACCTGGTCAAACTCACGATGCGGGTAAGGCGGTCTCGGCTATTCTTTTAGTCTTAAAATGAAGTTGGGCTATATTTCGGCCTAAAAGCTTGAAACCGAGCGTGCGATCGCTTTACCTGTGTCCATTTCTCTGCAAACCAAGGCCAGCAGGAGTTAGTTTAGAGTCCTTGGGACTGGAAAATACCCCCAAGTTGCGGGAAATCGAGCCAAAGATGCCCAAAATCACGATGCGCGTAAGGCGGTCTTGGCTACTCTTTTAGTCTTAAAATAAAGTGGCGCTATATTTCGGCCTAAAAGCTTGAAACCGAGCGTGCAATCGTTTTACCTGTGTCAATTTCGCTGCAAACCAAGGCCATCACGAGTTAGTTTAGAGTCCCCGGGATTGGAAAATATCACCCAAGTTGTGGGAAATCGATCCAAAGTTCGTCAAAATCACGATGCGGGTAAGGCGAAAGACTGAAAGAGTAGCCGAGACCGCCTTACGCGCATGGTGATTTTAAACAACTTTAGCTCCATTTACCGTAACTAGGGGGATATTTTCCAGTCCTAGGGACTGTAAGCTAACTCCTGATGGCCTTGGTTTGCAGATAAATAGACAGAGGAAAAATATTTGAACGCTTGGTTTGGAGCTTCTAGGCCGAAATATAGCCCCAGTTAAATTAAAGACTGATAGAGTATCCGAGACCGCCTTACCCGCATCGTGATTTTGACCATCTTTGGCTTGATTTGCTGGAACATGGGGGATATTTTCCAGTCCCGGGGACTCCAAACTAACTCCTGATTGCCTTGGTTTGCAGAGAAATGGACACAGGGAAAACGGTCGCAGGCTGGGTTTTGAGCTTCTACGCCGAAATTACCCCCCACTTCGTTTTAAGACTAGAAATGTAGCGAGACCGCCTTACGAGTAGCGTGATTTTCACCAACATTGGCTCGATTTCCCGGAACTTGGGAATATTTTCCAGTCCCGGGGACTCTAAACTAACTCCTGATGGCCTTGGTTTTCAGTGAAATGGACAGAGAAAAAATATTTGAATGCTCGGTTTCGAGCTTCCAGGCCGAAATATAGCCCTACTTCAATTTAAGACTGATGGAATAGCCGAAACCGCCTTACGCGCATCGTGATTTTGATCAACTTTGCCTCGATTTTCCGGAAATTGGGGGATATTTTCCAGTACCAAGGACTCTAAACTAAATCGTGATGGCCTTGGTTTTCAGTGAATCGGACAGGGGAAAATATTTGAACGCTCGGTTTCGAGCTTCTACGCGAAATATAGTCCCACTTTATTTTAAGACTGATAGAGTAGCCGAGACCGCCTTACGCGCATCTTGATTTTGACCAACATTGGCTGGATTTGCCGGAACTTGGGGGATATTTTCCAGTCCAAGGGACTCTAAACTAACTCGTGATGGCCTTGGTTTTCAGTGAAGTGGACAGAGGAAAAAATAATTGAACGCTCGGTTTCGAGCTTCTAGGATGAAATATAGCTCGACGTAATTTTAAGACTGAAAAAGTAGCCGCACCGCCTTACGCGCAACGTGATTTTGACCAACTTTGGGTCTATTTCCAGGAACTTGGGGGATATTTTCCAATCCCAGGGACTCTAAAGTAACTCGTGGTGGCCTTGGTTTTCAGTGAAATGGACAGAGGAAAAATAATTGAACGCTTGGTTTCGATCTTCTAGGCTGAAATATAGCCCCACTTCGTTTTAAGACTGTAAAAGTAGCCGACGCCGCCGACGATCGCACGCTCGATTTGGAGTTTGCTGGCCGAAATATAGCCCCACTTAATTTTAAGACTGATAAAGTAGCCAAGAGCCAAGACCGACTTACGCCGGCGCACCGTGATTTGCAGCAACTCCGGCTTGAGTTTCAGCAACTTGGGCCATATTTCCCAGTTTCAGGGACTCTAAACTAACTCGTGATGGCCGTGTTTGCAGAGAAATGGACAGGGGAAAACCATCGCACGCTCGCTTTGCAGCTTGCTGGCCGAAATATAGCCCCACTTAATTGTAAGACTGAAAAAGTAGCCAAGACCGACTTACGCGCACCGTGATTTGCAGCAACTTTGGCTTGATTTCCAGGAACTTGGTCCATATTTCTCTGTCTCAGGGACTGTAAATTAACTCGGTACGGCCTTGGTTTGCAGAGAAATGGACAGGGGAAAAACGATCGCACGCTCTCTTTGCAGCTTACAGGCCGAAATATAGCCCCACTTAATTTTAAGACTGAAAAAGTAGCCACCACCGACTTTCGCGCAGTGTGATTTGCAGCAACTTTGGGATTTCCAGGAACCTGGGCCATATTTCCCAGTCCCAGGGTGTCTAAACTAACTCGTGATGACCTTGGGTTTCAGTGAAAATGACAGAGGTAAATTTCGGCCGTTATTCACATGACCAAGCTTTTCATTATTTCACGGAGGAAATTTTACCATCAACATCAACTCATCCTCATTTTTAACACCAGCACATAAACAACAAACAAAAAACAAATTTAAACAAATTTAAGTGCAGTTTAAGGTTCAAACATGATATCAGTGAAGTAATCGATGTCTTCACTAATGAGGATATGGAAAATATGCCACCCGAGTCCCGGATGTGGTTTCGTATGAATTTTACGAGTGTCGTATTTGCCAGTCTATGGGCTCGAAACAAGCTAATGCCGAGCTGCGCAAATTTTGATTTTGACTTCCCCAAGCTTGATTCCTAAGATCTTGGACAATATTTTTGAGTACTGTGAACTTGAAACTAAATTGCAGAGAACTTGTCTTTAAGTTAAACCGACATGTTAAAGATCATCACACGTCTTGATTATGTGTTAAGTCGCCAAAATATAGGTCCTTTATGGCTTTTTAAGAGACTCGAAACAAGTCTTCACCGAGCTACGCAAATTTTGATTTTGACCAACTTAGGTTTGATTCCAAAGAGCTGGGACGATATTTTTGAGGTCTAGGGACTTGAACATAAATGCCAAAGACCTTTTACTGAAGTCAAATCGACAGTTAAAGATCAACGCACCCCTTCGTTATGTGTAGAGTCGCTAAAATATAGGCCCTTCTGGCCGGCCTCACTGAGAGACTCGACATCAGACTGTTTGATTTTTTCCGCAAAAGTTCGTGTTCAGGATAATACAACTAACCAAGCAAACCAGTAGCCAATCGTGTTGAAGTATTTTTCGCTTGCGTCTTTTGAATGGTTAAAAAAAGGTCTTTTCCGTTTATCAGTGGTTTGTGATAGGAATTCACTAACTAAAAGTAGCTTCTATCTTTTAACTTATTGATGATTCTGATAAGCTCTGCAGAGAAATGAGATATTTTTGTTTTGTTAACTCAGTTTTTAAGCCATCTAGATCAATTAGCCTTCCTATTTGAGAGTAAACTAAAACGTGATGGGAATTAACGCGCGAAAATGGCCGTGCATGCAAGCACAAGAAAGCGTGATGCGAGTCCTTGTTTTCACAGGGCCAATATTGGGAAATACAGGAGGATATTTTAAGTTTTTTGTGTAAAATGTTCAAGGATTTGACAGTAATTTCTCGTTGTAGTGAGTAAGGACGGTTTGCGTGTTTGGAAAATTTTTGGTGGACGATTTGGTAGACGATTTGGAATGGTTACTTAGTGAAATATCAAAACAACCATTCATTTGACTTAAATTGAAAGTGGCTCTAACAGGTTTTATTACAATAACCTCTGAAAAAGGCTTCCTTTTTATCATCACTAGAAACAGCTTATGCTAATATTAATTTCTTTTATATGGAGTCCTTATCTTTCCTTTTATATGGAGTCCTTATCGGCTTTCTGCTTTCTCACTAGTAGAAGTCGTAGTAGTAGTAGAAGTCTTTATTAAGAAATCAGTCACAACATACGTGTGGCTTTAAAATCAATAACAAACTAAGCTAAACTAGAAAAAACCTATCATATGTATTACAGTATGGGTAATATTCCGCTCAACATTCATGACCATAACATTAAAAACAGTATTCTTTATGCAAATTGACTAATTATTAGTGTTTGTGCGCTACTAATCATTAACAGTACTGCGAATGACCATTTACCATTTGCAGTCTTATAAACGGGTAATATATGCAATACCTTAAGCCTTCTCAAACTTTTCCTTTGACACTATAGCACCAATAAGCATTTTGTCCGTTTTACTTGAATAATTAATAAAGTGGCCTGTGAGAGATAAAAGAGATGGAGCTTGGTCCCAATTGGCATATTGTTCAAATTAGAGTTCGTGTCTCAACCATAAGGCCGGAAAAAACCTCAAAGTTACGCTAGCATGTCGTCGGAAACTAAACGCTGGGGAACTCGTCCGTTTTGGGGCTTGTCCTTTGATTATGACCCACAGTGGTTCTTGACAGAGGAGCAAAAAGAAATACAAAAACGACTGATTGACCTTTGCAGAACAACTCTGAGGCCTAATGCGGTGAGTTTTAAATTTAGCCCTGGTTTCATGTCCTTAGATTGCAATCCAAATGTATTCAAGCTACAAAATTTCGTTGGAAGAAACTTCAATAACGATTTAACCTACCATGGAACCAAAAGCAATTTCAGTGAGTGTTTTTTTTTCGGAACTTGAATTACATTCGACATGGTGAGATCTGACAAATAAATCAGGTATCAATCATTTTTTTTATTCAAGTTACATTGAAAGATACCCGCGTTTTCCTCGAATACAGATTTGCAAAAGCTGCAAATTCAAATAAGCAAGTTGAAGTAAGATTGTCCCGGTCAAAGAACACTTAAAATACAATTTCTTTGGCAATAGCTACGGAAGAGATTTATAAAAAGTCTTATTAAATTGTCAACATTTAGTTCTCACTAAAATGTTTCTCATTCGAGGACAGTCTTATAAAGATTTCGCTACAGCAAGAAACGAAAACTGTGAGACCCGAAACCTGTCGACTAGCAACGAGGGTAGTACGCTGTAAGAATGCAACTAAAAAACTGATCTTTGGGGTAGAAGCGTTAGAACCCGGTAAGATAAATTATTGCCGATTCTCCAATTTTTCGGTCTTGAGAATGACTATCAAGACTGCCAAGCCGGAGTTTGATTCTTTAGACTTTAAGCTGCATACCATTTGGTGACAATTTAGCGCGAGTCATTCGACAGCAGTTCATTTATCTCCTAGCATCAGCATATCATAACGTGAAAAATAGAGCTTTCAAAAATGTAGTTGAAAACTTAAGACAAACAAATCGAAAATGACGTCATTAACAGTTTTAACACCATTATAAGTAATCCTCGTGCCATTAAAGGATTACTAAAGTGCCACCTAAGCATTTTTTTTTCGTCCTTGGCACTTTGCTTACCAGCGCGGCGTTCTCGTGGACCTTGGGAAAAATTCCTCTGGCACCCAGGGTACCAGATGTATAGTTCATGCCTAAATATATCTCTCATTTGCATTTTTTGACTTATATTATACTTAATGTCCAAGGCCTCCTCATCCGCAAGTCTCCAAGAGGCTCTCTTATCTCCTGCAATTTACATGATAACCAGGTATTCACCTGTTATATAGCTAGCTGAAGACTGATATTGTTTACGTGTTTCAGTTAGTATCGGATCAGCGTTACGAGTTTCCTTACAAGAACATGAAGGCTTTAGCCTCGCAAGGCCTTTTGGGACTAATTATACCAAAGGAATACGGTGGCCTGGGTCAGAATCACGTGTGTATGGCTATGGTTGTGGAGACAATAGCACGATATGGCTGCCCGAGTACTGCCATGGTGTGTGGTGAGTGTAGCTTTCAGCAGGGGTACTGCTGAGATGGTATTTGTTCAGAAACTTTTGCTAAAAAGTTACAGTTTGCGAGAAAGTTCATCAGACGCATAATTAAACAAGGACATATACTATAAAATATCAGAAATTCCAAAAAAGTCCTACCTTAACTTGAAGCAAGGTTCAGGCAAAAGCTAAGCTCTCAGCTTTAAGATCAGACCTAACCCTGGTAGACACAGCAAAACGTCTAACAAATAATCATCAAACATAAGTGTATCAAGAACAACTAAACAGGTTGCCATAGACAGTTATCATAGATAAAGGAAACATTTACAGTTGCAGTTATTTGTCTTCGTTTTATTCTTGCAGTTATGCACTACATTGCTGTGAGTGCACTGCTGTTACGCCATCACAGTAATGCTCGAGTCCAAGACCTTCTACTTCGTGTAAACAAGGATGCTCTGATAGGGACAGTGTCATACAGCGATCCAGCCACAGGTTCAGTGCGGTTTTTTGTTTATAACCATACGTTGAGCTGTGTTAAATATTTTTAAAAATGGACGGTTAACAATCCATTCGTCTCTCACTTGGCTATAAAATCTGTTTGATAAGAACTCCTTGTTACCGATCTTCCAGGACCGAGGTTTTTGTGTTTTAAAACATGTGATAAATTTAACTTACACAGTAACAAGAATTATGACTTTGCTACTAGGCGGACACTTCTGGTACCCAATGTCTTCTCGGACTCAAATGACAGCGGATGGAAGAATCAAGTTACTGAAGTGCGGATCGTGGGCTACCAGTGCTGGTTTTGCTGATTTCTATGTGATTATCACAACAAGTCCTCAGTTTGACGGGAATTTCTCGAATATGTCATGCTTTCTACTTTTTAAGGTGTGCAGTAAATGTAGAGATGTATTTATGACGGATGCTATAGGAAGGGTTAAGGAGACCCATCGGTGGCGTGGGTTAATAGCGACTATGTCGAACGTGAGACTTTGAATTCTTATCGTACTGTCATGGTCAACTGCAGGATGTGTTTTATTTTATCAAGAAGCCATTTTCTGAGTTCTTCTCTTTTCCCAGGTACGTCGACAACTTATTATTCAGGCAAATTTAGACTGGCAAAATCCAATTATCACTGCCATCAGCAAGCGAACATTTCATCTTGGGGAAATAACCTATTTACGTTATATTATAGAAATCCTTNCACTAGTAGAAGTCGTAGTAGTAGTAGAAGTCTTTATTAAGAAATCAGTCACAACATACGTGTGGCTTTAAAATCAATAACAAACTAAGCTAAACTAGAAAAAACCTATCATATGTATTACAGTATGGGTAATATTCCGCTCAACATTCATGACCATAACATTAAAAACAGTATTCTTTATGCAAATTGACTAATTATTAGTGTTTGTGCGCTACTAATCATTAACAGTACTGCGAATGACCATTTACCATTTGCAGTCTTATAAACGGGTAATATATGCAATACCTTAAGCCTTCTCAAACTTTTCCTTTGACACTATAGCACCAATAAGCATTTTGTCCGTTTTACTTGAATAATTAATAAAGTGGCCTGTGAGAGATAAAAGAGATGGAGCTTGGTCCCAATTGGCATATTGTTCAAATTAGAGTTCGTGTCTCAACCATAAGGCCGGAAAAAACCTCAAAGTTACGCTAGCATGTCGTCGGAAACTAAACGCTGGGGAACTCGTCCGTTTTGGGGCTTGTCCTTTGATTATGACCCACAGTGGTTCTTGACAGAGGAGCAAAAAGAAATACAAAAACGACTGATTGACCTTTGCAGAACAACTCTGAGGCCTAATGCGGTGAGTTTTAAATTTAGCCCTGGTTTCATGTCCTTAGATTGCAATCCAAATGTATTCAAGCTACAAAATTTCGTTGGAAGAAACTTCAATAACGATTTAACCTACCATGGAACCAAAAGCAATTTCAGTGAGTGTTTTTTTTTCGGAACTTGAATTACATTCGACATGGTGAGATCTGACAAATAAATCAGGTATCAATCATTTTTTTTATTCAAGTTACATTGAAAGATACCCGCGTTTTCCTCGAATACAGATTTGCAAAAGCTGCAAATTCAAATAAGCAAGTTGAAGTAAGATTGTCCCGGTCAAAGAACACTTAAAATACAATTTCTTTGGCAATAGCTACGGAAGAGATTTATAAAAAGTCTTATTAAATTGTCAACATTTAGTTCTCACTAAAATGTTTCTCATTCGAGGACAGTCTTATAAAGATTTCGCTACAGCAAGAAACGAAAACTGTGAGACCCGAAACCTGTCGACTAGCAACGAGGGTAGTACGCTGTAAGAATGCAACTAAAAAACTGATCTTTGGGGTAGAAGCGTTAGAACCCGGTAAGATAAATTATTGCCGATTCTCCAATTTTTCGGTCTTGAGAATGACTATCAAGACTGCCAAGCCGGAGTTTGATTCTTTAGACTTTAAGCTGCATACCATTTGGTGACAATTTAGCGCGAGTCATTCGACAGCAGTTCATTTATCTCCTAGCATCAGCATATCATAACGTGAAAAATAGAGCTTTCAAAAATGTAGTTGAAAACTTAAGACAAACAAATCGAAAATGACGTCATTAACAGTTTTAACACCATTATAAGTAATCCTCGTGCCATTAAAGGATTACTAAAGTGCCACCTAAGCATTTTTTTTTCGTCCTTGGCACTTTGCTTACCAGCGCGGCGTTCTCGTGGACCTTGGGAAAAATTCCTCTGGCACCCAGGGTACCAGATGTATAGTTCATGCCTAAATATATCTCTCATTTGCATTTTTTGACTTATATTATACTTAATGTCCAAGGCCTCCTCATCCGCAAGTCTCCAAGAGGCTCTCTTATCTCCTGCAATTTACATGATAACCAGGTATTCACCTGTTATATAGCTAGCTGAAGACTGATATTGTTTACGTGTTTCAGTTAGTATCGGATCAGCGTTACGAGTTTCCTTACAAGAACATGAAGGCTTTAGCCTCGCAAGGCCTTTTGGGACTAATTATACCAAAGGAATACGGTGGCCTGGGTCAGAATCACGTGTGTATGGCTATGGTTGTGGAGACAATAGCACGATATGGCTGCCCGAGTACTGCCATGGTGTGTGGTGAGTGTAGCTTTCAGCAGGGGTACTGCTGAGATGGTATTTGTTCAGAAACTTTTGCTAAAAAGTTACAGTTTGCGAGAAAGTTCATCAGACGCATAATTAAACAAGGACATATACTATAAAATATCAGAAATTCCAAAAAAGTCCTACCTTAACTTGAAGCAAGGTTCAGGCAAAAGCTAAGCTCTCAGCTTTAAGATCAGACCTAACCCTGGTAGACACAGCAAAACGTCTAACAAATAATCATCAAACATAAGTGTATCAAGAACAACTAAACAGGTTGCCATAGACAGTTATCATAGATAAAGGAAACATTTACAGTTGCAGTTATTTGTCTTCGTTTTATTCTTGCAGTTATGCACTACATTGCTGTGAGTGCACTGCTGTTACGCCATCACAGTAATGCTCGAGTCCAAGACCTTCTACTTCGTGTAAACAAGGATGCTCTGATAGGGACAGTGTCATACAGCGATCCAGCCACAGGTTCAGTGCGGTTTTTTGTTTATAACCATACGTTGAGCTGTGTTAAATATTTTTAAAAATGGACGGTTAACAATCCATTCGTCTCTCACTTGGCTATAAAATCTGTTTGATAAGAACTCCTTGTTACCGATCTTCCAGGACCGAGGTTTTTGTGTTTTAAAACATGTGATAAATTTAACTTACACAGTAACAAGAATTATGACTTTGCTACTAGGCGGACACTTCTGGTACCCAATGTCTTCTCGGACTCAAATGACAGCGGATGGAAGAATCAAGTTACTGAAGTGCGGATCGTGGGCTACCAGTGCTGGTTTTGCTGATTTCTATGTGATTATCACAACAAGTCCTCAGTTTGACGGGAATTTCTCGAATATGTCATGCTTTCTACTTTTTAAGGTGTGCAGTAAATGTAGAGATGTATTTATGACGGATGCTATAGGAAGGGTTAAGGAGACCCATCGGTGGCGTGGGTTAATAGCGACTATGTCGAACGTGAGACTTTGAATTCTTATCGTACTGTCATGGTCAACTGCAGGATGTGTTTTATTTTATCAAGAAGCCATTTTCTGAGTTCTTCTCTTTTCCCAGGTACGTCGACAACTTATTATTCAGGCAAATTTAGACTGGCAAAATCCAATTATCACTGCCATCAGCAAGCGAACATTTCATCTTGGGGAAATAACCTATTTACGTTATATTATAGAAATCCTTGTTATGTGGTATTGTGTTCTAGCCTGGTTCTAGCTTAATTTTCCAAGAAGGATTACGCTTAAATGTTACAATCACATGTCAGCCTTTAATCGCTGTAAGTATCAAGTTACTCCAGCTGTTATTTTAGGATGACGTTCGAGCCAACACCGAAGATTGGTCATCACTAGGAATGCATGGCAACCATTCTGGGCCTCTTGTTTGTGAGAGCACCATCACCGAAGATCAGCTTATAGGTCCATACGGTAAGGAGCTTACGTCACGTAAGCAACAGACTTCAATGAAATTTTAATCCCATTTAACATCTCTAGGGTTAGGGTCCCTTTTCCTGAGCAAGTGTTCTGTTCCTTTGTGCGCATTTCGTCGGAATTTCTGACTTTAAAGAAGTTCAAATACAATAGTGTTTTGTTATAATGCGTTTGCATTTCTAGCTTTGAAAGCTACACGCTGCAGCCAGTTATGAACGTTTCTGAACAATATTTTCTTTGTCGCCGAATGATGTGGATGTCAGTCAACAGAAGCTGATTGTTGGAACCTCTCCTTTGATGTAGGTTAGACCCATTCCTGCCGGACAGACGCACGACTGACGTTAAGTTGTTTTTTACAATAAATTATCACATCGTCGGTCCACATATTGACAATGAAAATCAGCCAATGAGCGCGCGAGAACGTGCGCAGTTGTTGTAAAAATGACTGCGGAAAAAGGTATTGATCGAAAATAGAAGTTAACGTTAATTTTTGTCAACTACAGTCGAACCTGCCGTTGCGACCAGCTACCGTAAGCGACCACCTCTCTTCGGTGACCAGTTTTTCAAAATAGTAAAGCTTCCAAGTAAAATCACTATATTTGGAACCTCTTGTAAGCGACCTCCTCGGCTTGATATTTTGGGTGGTCGCTTACGACAGGTTCGAGTGTATGAAATAGACAACATGCTGGTCTAAGCAGTGTAAGAAATGCACACGCGCAAAAGTTCATTCTTTGTTTAGTAAATGAGTTAATAGTCTCGGGAACTCTAGCGTAATGCAGTTTAAGTTCACTTTTGACTCTAAATTTTACATTTTAAGGTGACGGAATAGCATCTCTTGACGAAGTTGGATCACCAAGATTCTTGTTATTAGTGTCTGCATGTTGGAATGGCATTGCCATGGGAGCCATTGACATAGCTCGACGCCATGTGATCACTAAAGAGCATGCAGACATAGGCATGCGCATTGCTGATTACCCAACGATCCAAGTAAGAAACAATGTTCTTTAATGTACGAAAGTGATTCGGATTATTGAATTTTACAGATTATGCATTTAAAAGAGCTGTGCCAGAAATCTAAAAATACACTTTCCAAGAGCTAGCTTAGATACATCGAGCTCGGCTATCTTTCGTGTATTATAACCATGTACCTTAATAGCTAGACGACACCATAAAAGCGGATCACATTTAATGATCCCTGGCGAGGATAACGAGAGGTGAAGTGGATAACACTAAAACGCAAGCAGAGCAAGCCTTGTAGTTTCCTACACTGAAATCTATTCCTACTAGCTCAAAGGGCGAGGGCAGCCTCACTGCAGTGCATGGTACCATATCAGTGGCGCATTCCGTACCACCATACATAGCACTACATTTAAGCCCCAGTAGTGTTACCATAATGGCGACGTATTCCTGCCCCAGTGGCGGTACCGCAATGATAGCGCATTTTCCAGGTTGTCTCAGAAGCAAAAAGTTCCGGGTTTGATACTGCAAATGTAACCACTAAAAAAAATTATCTTTAGTCAAAACATGAGCTCTGTTTTGTAATTACATTTTGCTTTTCACAAAGGATTACTTTGGAGAAGCAGTGTGCGGCACCAATGCATGTCGCATGATGGTATTCACAATGGCTCAGCTTATGGACCAAGTCACTGAAAACAATGATTGGAGCGTTTACAAGGATTGGAATGCACCCCTAAGGTGAGAAAAGATGCTGCTAAACCTTAGGACATCCAACATGTTAAGGACAAACATATCTTAGTATATAAAGTGGGGTCCAGCATTATTTACGCTATTACGCTGGCGGGGATAGATCGATCTTTTCGGCCTCTAAAGATCAAACCGACTATGTCCGAGTTATAAGAAAAGGTAACGTTTTATTCCAAATTTGTTGATGTGCCCCTCGTTCACACAGGTCTAATTTACGTGTTCCTCGAAATGCTTGACAAATAAAAGAGAAACTATGAAGACATGATTGATCATCGCAGTTATACACATAACTTAAGCAGTTGTGAAATGAAAGACTGAAAAAAATTCAAGCCTGAACGGGATTCGAACCCATGACCTCTGCGATACCGGTACAGTGCTCTACCAACTGAGCTATCAAGCCAACTGGGAGCTGGTCACATTGTGAGTTCGTAATATACCCGTAGATGGTGAAGAATGCAAGTGAATATATGAAATATCATATATTTGAACTGCGGAGAAAGATATGAAGACATGATTCAGATCATCGCAGTTATACACACAACTTAAACAGTTGTGAAATGAAAAGAGAAACTACTGAGGAGTTTTAATTTTAAATAAACTCAGTTTTATTCACTTGATAGTACGAAATAATGGGGTCGGTTTGTTCTGCACTTTCTCGTAAACTTGCTTTTCCGCAAAACGTCACAGCGTTTCAATAGCGTTGGGGAAGTTGGTCCAAATACTACACGTTTAGAAACGCTGCAACAGGTTTTTGGAGTAATGCGACCTTCATAACAAGGTCATCTGAATCGCTTTTAGAGTTCCCAGGTAAGTTTCAACAAATACTGCAAACTATAACACCACCATAACTACATGCAACATGCCTTAGCCGCCAAAAAAGAACATTTAAAATTTCATATCAAAGTTGTTGTTCCTTTTTTGTATAATTTTGGTTATGTCTTCATTTACCAGGATTGGTAGCTTACATCCATGTTGGTGTTGGCAGATGAGGTTTGAATGCGCCAAGAATGTGAACAAGGCAACAGACAAGATGATGCAGGCTTGCGGGGGATCTGGTTACAAGCGAGACCTCGGTAAGAACGCTAAAACTCAGGTTGGTCCCCCAGTGGAAGTGTTTCTATCATGCTCGGTCTGATTGGACAGTGTTTTTTATGAAGGCATTTTAAACACGATCTGGACGTCAATACAGTTTGATATCTCTAATATGGTGCAAACATTTGGATGGATTTGGATGAAATGGACCAAATGTCAAGTTATAAGTTACAGGCAATCGCACAGACTGAAAACGCGGACGGCTTTTAGTTGCACATGAAAGTTCTGAGTTAAATAAATAAAGGAATGAATCAGAGTGACTGACAGAGCGACTGACTAACTGACTGACTGGCTGACAGGCTGGCTGACTGGCTGACTGACTGACCGACTGACTGACTGGCTGGCTGTCTGACTGACGTACTGACTGACTGACTGACTGGCTGGGTGACTGACTGACTGACTGACTGACTGACTGACTAGTGACTGACAGGCTGACTGCATGACCGAATGATTGGCTGACAACTGACTTACAGACTGACTGACTGTCTGTCTGTCTGTCTGACTGCCTGACTGACTGACTGACTGACCTACTGACTAGCACTGACTGACTGACTGACTTACTGACTGATTTACTGACTGAATGACCGACTGATTGGCTGACTTCTGACTTACAGGCTAACTTGCGCACTGTCTAACTGTCTGGCTGATCGACTGACAATTAAACCGTCTGACTGACTAACTGGTAACAGACTGACTGATTGACTGGCTGGCTTACTGTCTGTCTGTCTGTTTGTCTGTCTGACTGACTGATTGACTGACTGACAGACAAACAGACAGAAAGACTAACAAACTGTCTGACTGACTAACTGGCAACAGACTGACTGACAGACACAGACAGACAGACAGACAGACAGACTGACTGACTGACTGACTGACTGACTAACTGGCTGGCTGGCTGGCTGGCTGACTGACTGTGTGACTGAGTGGTTGGGTTAAAGTTTTAATTAACGACTGCTCAATTAATCTTACATTTTAAAACAAACATTGGAAACAAATTTGACAGGGTTAATTTCAACCTTAATCTGTTAGGACTCTAATTACCTTTCCAAAACCTAAGAGTGATCTTGTTTCTCTTCCTATAAGGCGTTGAACGTCTGTTTCGAGATGGACGAGCAGGTTGGCTCATGGGTCCAAGCAATGAAGTATTAAAACAGTTTGTTGGCAAGTCGTCTTTGTTTGGTCTGGAAAGCTTGGATTTATGGTAAGTGAGACACAACGTTTACAATTTCCTCTTTTTTCCTGTAAAAGAGTTACCATGAAACAAGTTTCACACTGAAACGCGACGTTATGTTAAATAACGGGACTAAGCTCTCTATCCCTCAAGTACTAATGACATATAGGGAGAGCAGGATGGTGTAGCGGTGAGAGCACTTGCCCTTCACCCGTGTGGCCGGGGCCTGGGTCATAAATGTCTTGAGTTTGTTGTTTGTTCCGAGGTCTTCTCCAGGTTCTCCGGTTTTCCCCTCCATAAAACGAACACTCCAAATTATAACTCAACCTCGGTTTACTAATAATTCATAACGATTTCAGGAGAACAGTACATCTAGGTGTTTTGTGTGTAGATAAATTACATTTACATTCTTTATACACAATACTGTCGTGTGGGTATACAACCATTTGCGTATGAATTATAATCTCCACTACAACAAGAGGAGAGTTCGAGAGAGAGTTTCCAGCTAATCGTTAACAAAGATCTTTATGGCATTGCAAATCTGTCATAGTGAGTAATGTGCACATGACGCTTTGGTTATATTTGTTGACGCATTTTTAACACAAGCGCCTTCATCTTTTTGTCACCTCAGGTCCCAGTCGTCAGATAGACGAGCCTTGAATGCAGAGTTACTAAAGTTAGGCGATGACGAAAAAATGGAAATTGCACAGCGGTTGATGCGTGAGGTCACAATGAATGCACCACTGGAGAAAAATGAACAGAATAGCTACCAAGACACAGAATTTGACAATCCATTTAACACTAAGCCCCCGGCCACTAGAGGTCCCTTTACTGATGGAAAAGGAATAGAGCATTTACCCGCTCTGAGCCCTGATTGTTTTGTCCCCTTGAAGCTCCTTTCCATTATACCACTTGGTGACAAACAAGCCGAGTTTCAGTTCGCTCTTCCCCAGGTCTCACGACACACTGGTTGCCTTCCCGGCCAGTACGTTCAGGTCAGAGTACATGTAGACGGGGACGGCGATAAATATTGCCAGCGTTATTTTTCGCCAGTGAACGCTACAAACGATTATGGCCGAATAGACCTGGTCATGAGGTTCGAAAGTCATGGACAGTTGTCAAAAAGATTTCGAGCACTGAGTCCAGGTGAGACCGAAAATCAGATTTAATGAAGTATAGACTATAAGGAATATCTTCAACAAAACATTCACTAACTGGTCTGTCTCCTGCCAGTTAGGGTTTTTAATATTGTTATGTTTGAGTTGAAATATTTATTTCTGAAGTTTAATTGTTTGGCCCACTAGACTCACCAGACTCTGGCTGAAAAAACAGAACGGGGGTAAATGAACGTCATTTCAGTATTTATTTTTTATTCGGATTAACGAATAAAATGTACAAATTTAAAAAAAAAACATTTACCCGACAGAAAAGAAATTTAGAGAAGTTACTTTATGGTTATTTATTTTTTTCATTTGATCATGCACAGGTGACCTGGTAGAATTCCGAGGTCCATGCGGGGGATTTGAGTACGAGTCCAACTCAATTAAACACTTGAGTCTTGTGGCCAGCGGTTCTGGTGCCACCCCGTGTATTCAACTTGTACGTGATATCATGGCGGATCCAGACGATCAGACCTCAGTCTCCTTGCTTTATCACACGGACAAAGAGTCAGATCTGATGTTTAAGAGCGAGTTAGATGGCTACAATGCACATGATGGCCGTTTTCATGTGTATTACTCGGTGTCTGAAGGTGCTGAGACAGAAAACTGGCAAGGAGGAGAGGGGCACATCGACAAGGACATGATCTCTGATCACTTGACAGGACCTCAAGCGCTGGATCATAAAATACTATTGTGTGGTGGACCTACCATGATTGTATCCGTGATGCGCTCTTTATCTCTGGTGGGTTACTCCAGTGAGCAGATTTTTGTCTATGGGCAGTTTGGTGCCGAACAAGTCCGAGCAGTCTATGGAAGAAACGCAAAGCTGTCTTCACACCGCTTGTAACTTTGATTATGCAAGCGCAATCAGTGCTTCAGTGTAATTTAGATTGCAATAATCGAGGTATAAATAAGCATATTTATTGTTGAAATATTTAACTATTCCCTTGGTAAATTAAGACTGTTAAAGGAAAATAATATTTTGCTGGTATATTAATGTAGCTAACGTGGGAAATTGACCTACGTAGAAATTGTGTAGGGTATAAAAAAAAGGGAAAGAAAAGATAGGGAAAATTGCCTTGTTGAACAATTCACGAATCGAACAGGGAAATATAAGTGGTAAAAGTGATGACTATTTTAATATGTAACTGAGCTATATACAACTAAGTGGACTGAAAATTTGGTGTTGGGTGAATCATGAGCCGGGGGTACAGCTCCTGTCGCTCGGTGGTGATTTTCTCCTGCAATCGATCAGTTCTTTCACTCGTGAGCTGCCTTGGTACACCCTGAGTCAATTTGGATTATACATTGGGCCTACATGTCTGATACAATGTTTTCCATATGTGCCTTACTGTTCCTTGCTTCAGTCCTAGGATCATGATGACGACCGAGGTCAGAATGACACGTGCTTCAGGGTCTATTGTGATTATCTGAGATTTATGAACCTGTGTCACTAAAGCCTGGTTTTCACTAGCGACGCAAGCACAAGCGCAATCAAAAACGCAAGCAATGGGGATGACCCAAACCGAAAACGAAATTCGACGCAAACACAAGCACAAGCAAAATCATCCAGACATTCCAAACTGTTTATGCGCGAGGTAGTCTGGATCCAGTGTTTTCATTGGCCAAACTTAACCACCCGTGGTAAATATCCTTGCGCTTGTGTTGTGCCTGAGCGGTATTTCGTTTTCAATTGTTGCAGCGCGAACGCGAACATAAGCGCAAGCACAAGAAAAAGGAAAAATCTTGATCCTGGTGCTTGTGCTTGGGCTTGTGTTTATGCCTGGGTGAAGGTCGTTTTCACGGTGAAATAAGAATTGTACTTGCGCTTGTGCTTGCGTCGCTAGTGAAAACCAGGCTTTACCAGTGGGTTAGCTACACACATCTCTCTTGGATCCTGATCATAGTGAAGTAAAATTTTTGAAACTTTAAGGTGGCTCTTTACTCATTTTCTTAGACTTCACAGTTACAACTTTGCAAAGAGTTGCATCTTAACAGGCTGATCACAACGCGATAATAAAATGGGGTTCATCTTCACAAGCGCAAGAATTAGGATTTTAATTTTAAAGTATTGTAAAGCGCCATGGACAATTAGTGGAAAATGGCGCTATATAAATGTATATTTATTTATTTATTTATTTATGTATTTATTTATTTATTTATTTTTGAAATACGGGTAATAATTACCTTGAGCACGAACTAACTTAAAGGCGTCTCAATAGGTTATACTGTTGTTATGGTTTTGTATAATGTTACGCTTGTCGCTCTGGCGGATCAACCAAGTTTTTGTTGGAAACTGGTAACTCCCGTACGTTGAATTATACTTACTTTACTGTGAACAGTCTACGACCGACCATTCCAACTGAAAAAGTTGTCCGAGACCTGTTAGTGTCTCATAACGATGAGCAGTTATTTTGGGAAGCAACTTCAGTCCTCTTTATATATAGTAAACACAGCACAATTATAACATCGTTTATTTCAAATTGTAGCGTAATCTTGGAGCAATAAAGAGAAAATGGGAATAAACAATGCTTCGTTTTTTGTTGATACCTCTTGAAAGAGTCCAGCTTCGCAAATAAACTCAAGAATTTCTTTGTGCGCAAACCGTATTCAGCGAGACAGTTGAATATTACCATAATTACAAAGAAAGCAACAAGGCGTTTCCACTGAATGCTAATTACCTGTTTTGAGCGAAGCTTTCTAGTGGTTACTGTGAAAAACACGCGACTGGCTAATTTGCACATCTCTCGTCAACGCGTCTTCAACGAAAACTCCAGAGGCCGTTAAACTGTTCAAAGTTGAAATACCCGCATCTTATTTGTAAAAGGTAAGTTAGCTTATGATAAAGAGTTTTTTTAAAATCTGAAGACCATCACGGATTGTACGTTATAACAGACTGACGATTCAATGTGGTATTAGTGCGCTTAGAATCATCGAGAAACTATAAAGACTTCCGAACAGTGCCGCTGGATATGGTTGTTTCTTCGGCTTGTATCACACATGTAGGATCGTGTATTATAGCTGCTCTTGTTCAGAATGTACATGCTTCCGATTTATCGTTATCTAGTTCAATTTTTTGTTTTGATTGTATGCGAACGGGTTTTGCCTTCAATTGTATTGAACCACGTCGTCAGAGCATGGCTCACTATAGCACATAATTGTCAAAAGTGAGATATTACCAAACTCAAGGCGTTAAGTAAAGGTTAAGGGAAAATCAAATAAGGAGAACATGTCGATAGGGTTTCGCAGAGGTTTTTATTGCATGCATGCATCGTTCTGTAATATCACTAAAACGTCCACAATTTTGTTGAACATTTGTTATTTCTGATTTCGTGACGTGTAACGCTGAAGCTAATTCAGGCTCAATATACTCAGTCGAACTAGTTTACGCATTAGTGATAACTCTTTCATTTTAACGTATTAAGGTTTACTTTAGTCACCAAACTTAAATCAGAAAACTTGTCAGGTTGATCTCACTTTGAGGAGTTTATTTGAGGATTGTTTTCGAAGCACTTGTTGTCGACAGGTATTTACTGACGGGGATTTCGGGTTAAATATTCATAAGGACACCCAGTCGCCACAAGATGTTATTTTCATCTATAAATATCAAACTCACCATGTCGCCACCGCATTTTTATTTCATCTCTCTGTTAATTCATAGTTAGTAGAGGGCTAATTTCCCAGGATTTGCTTTCTCACCTTGAAAAGGAGAAGACACGTGTAAAGAAAGACGTGCTCTATGAATACAACTCTTTCATCTTAGCGTTTCAAACTAAAACTTCGTGACGGCAGGCTTAGAATTTTCGTAAGCTACAAGAATATGGTACTTTGTTCCGAGACAAACTGATAAACATTTTATTTGGGCAAGATGTTCTGTGTTGTGCACGCTTCGCGGTTCTATCTTTACTGAGCCCGGCCTGTGTCTAAAAATAGCTTGCAGCCTGGCTGCTAAGCATACTTTCCAGGGAGTGCCACAGACGAGTTTCCATCACTGTGAGTACACCATTAGCTACGCTTTTAGTAGTATGATTATGAGTATTTGCTTTGTTTGGTTCGTTTACTGTTTTATTAGTGTTCTGTTTTGTCCCCTGAAGCTTTTATACAGCGTTCGTTTGCTGTAGGTTGGAAAACTTCTGCAATTGTAATTCACGTACAGCCAGCCGTCTGCATGTGACATGTCGTTAATTTATTGTGTTCATATTGCCACCTTCCTTTTAATAGTTTGGCACACCATTTAACTTAAGTTTATAACTAATACAAAATATAAAGTGTGGACTGACGTTGGAAATCTAATGAGCAGCAAACTTACAAACCGAGATAAAACAATTTTTTTCTTTCCTCTTTAAGTCTTATTGGAAGATAACAGAAAACTTAAAAGTTTAAGTTTTAAAGTTTATAATTTTCTTTTAGATTTGAGACCTGTTTCTGAAGAAGAAGGATAAAATGGCTGATGATAATGGACCTCCTCCCAGCTTGCAAAAAGTACGAGCAGCCTGTAAAAAGAGAGGAGCAACTGGTGCCAAAGGATTAGGAAGGTGGTTTATCTCTTTTGCTCATTTTAACATCTAGGGCACTCTCCATTCAAATGAAAATTCTGGAACTTTTGAAACGGGAGTGAAAGGTATGGAAATTTCCCAGGAAAGGGTCCAGAAAATTGTTGAATTTCTGAAACAGGTACCATTTGACCAAACATTCTGGAAATCCCGAGAGGAAAAACAAATGGGATGGAAATTCCCATTAAGAAATATTGTGAAAACTTGTTATTCGTTAATACCTTGTGAGAAGGAAGAACCATTAATTATTAAATTGGAAGATTTTTACATGAACATCCTTAATGGAGCTTGTGTCATTATCTATTACCTTCAACTATTTGAAAGCATTTTAATATTCAAGAGAGACACCCTTTTTTGTTTTAATTCACAGAGCTTTCCGAATCTACGATGATGACCACAGTCTTACTCTGAGTCTTGATGAGTTCAGTACAGGTCTTCAAGACTATGGGGTCAACTTATCTGATGAGGTACGCTCTGATCATAGAAATTGATTCCTCATGTACAGCAGCATGTAAACCCTTTTTCCATAAGCATGATTTACATTTTATACCTCATTATGTTGTAAACCAGACATGTGACAAAAAAGGGGCTGAAAGTCATCAATTAGGCAACTGGCTTGTCAACCCTTTAAATAAGTGAAGTATCACCTATATGTAATTTCTGAACTGAGGTCAGCTAGTTTCGTTTGGTGAGTCATTGATGATAGTTAAACAAAAATGATGGAAAGCTAAATTTGTTGCACCTGAGGAATGTTGCCCCCTAATTTCAATATAACAAGAAACCTAAGGGCTTTCGTGTGGGATGCATTGGCCATCCGCGAAGAAATAAATGCAAGCGGAAATACAAACACTCAGTTTTGCATTTTTATTTTCTTTAACAACAAGATAACAGAATGTTGTTCGCATTCAAATTTGTATTCATTTGATAGTACAAGTATAAACATTCTCAAATGAATATTGTTACTGATGTGTCAAAGTGACACAAAAATGCCTCACTTGGTTTGAATTTCAGATTTCCATGTAGCTTGAAATTTTTCACTGTGGAGAAGAAATACACTTAAAACGCCTTCTTGGCTTCATTTGTGTAACTTTTTTCTATGTTGCTGTAGAGGTTTAGGTCATGTTACTAGTAAAGTCAAAGTAAAGCGATTTCAGGGAGTTTTGGCTTCATTGTTTTCCAGTGTTTTTCACCAGGGTTTTGACGGGCCACGATAAGAAATATTCATTTGCTGGCTCTCAAACATGCTCTCTATATAGGTGAATCCTAGAGGCAATGGGAGTTTTTCAAGCAAATTTATGGCTATTTTCCACCTTTGTTAAATTTGTTGGGCTTCGCGATGGGTGGCGATGAAAAATAGCTGTGAGATTTACGAGCTTAAATTCCTACTTAGCGGACACCTTCACAGTGGGTCTTGCTATGAAAATTATCTACGAGAATTCCCACTTGGTTGGCGATGTAGGAAAGTGATGGTTCTTGGTGAAATCTCAAGGCAATGGGAGCTTTTGACACAAATTTATGGTTAAAATAATATGTTCGACCTTTAATCCTACATGATTTCAACTCCACATACTGCCTGGTCCCGTGGGATACAGGTTAATTTGCATATGTGATTACAAAGCAGAAGAGAAAGAAGAAACTGAACCAAAACTTTGATGCAGTCTGCCTCGGGCATCCTGCATACTTATCAAAAGAAGGCAAAAAAAGACATCAGTGTTGCACACATGAACAAAGAAAGCTTCAACATGTATGCTAAAAATGGGAAATATGAGATAATTCTCTCTTGCATTCAAGTTGGGATAACATTCATACGAAATTAATGAGGAAAGGAGTTACCAATTAAATTAACCACTCCTTTAGTCAAAAAAGAACCCAGGCATACAGCTGTACAACTAAAGAACCTTCTGTTACATTAAGTTCCCTACTTCAGAACTTACATATTAAAGTATTAAAGTCATTAAAAGAACTGTACTTGTTATTGGGCATGGCCTTGGAAGCATAATTTTGTGGGACTTCTCATTATATAAGTAATTTCACAACAAGCCCACAAACTGCAGCTGTATGTGGATTTTAGGACATGACGCCTGTTTTTATTGTTGCATTCTGATACATGTGTCTCTGTACATTTAAAATAGAAACTAAATACACTGCAGAAAGTGTTTGCACTGTTTTTATTATTTTAGCTTTCTTGGTGATTGCTCATTTTCTAATTGCTGTGGTTTTGAAGAACTGGATATTACAATACAGGTATTTTTAAGGGCAGGGCACCAGGCAAATTGACTATGCGTGAGGATGATTGTGCCTACCTTGTTTGACCATCTAGAGGAAAGTTTTTCTTAAAAAGAAGGTCAGCTCAAAAAGTTTTGCCCACCTGTCAAAACCAGTTTCCCTCCTGATGAAAATGCTAATGAAACCCCGGATAATGGTTCAATTTTAAAAGTATAATTATTCCACACTAACAAGCTTTAATGACATATGCCTACTGAGATGTTTAAAACATTAAACGACATTAATATGTATGTTTTCTCTTGTGTTCACAAAATTAAACCTAAGCCACGTAAATATGGAATTTGACTGGCACTATTATTTTTCCCCAAGATCGTGATTTCAGTCTGTTTGTTTATGTTCGATGTAACAGTTTTTTTTGACTGATCTCTTCTGTCGTTTTGTACAGGAGTCCAAAGAGTTGTTTGAGTACTTTGACAGGGATGGTAAAGGCGAGATAGACATAGATGAATTCATGGTTGCATTCAGGGTAAGAAGTGACTGTTATCACTTAAAAAGTAGAGCATCTCGTACAAAAAAGCATTGCAGCATGTCAAACCAGTATTAGTCTTATACTTTGCTGAAGAGAAGTGCGAACCATGGCATACACTATTTTCCTCAACAGTCGCCATATTGCTTTTGTACCCCGCATGTGATGTAGCATAGAGTGGTTTTCGCTTGACGGCCGAAAAGTAATTGGTTTTGCATAACTATGTTGCATGACTATAGCGAAGCAAGAACCACACATGCCGGCATCCTCAACAGCCTTCCTTCTACATCTTGTACTGCAATTGTTGCCAAAAATTCCCACAAGCTTGTTGTGCGCATGTCACGCAGCACAAAACCGTCAAGTTATGGGTAAAAAAATAAGTTAACATAATTTATGAATTAGTTTCAGCACGTGTAAAATACGGCGTTTAAATCAACTGCTGAACTTCAGTCATATATTCAACTGGATCAGTCAAATACTCAACTACCGGTATCTTGCATTTAATTCAAATATGTTGCATTTAATTGATTTAAAGTGGTACTATGATCAAATTTTTACCCCGTGATTTTTTAGGCATATCACATAGAATTCGATGAAAGAATAAAAATGCTGTTTACCATTTGCAAATATCTGCATTAGTTCCAGAGATATTTCAGTTTGAAAAATGTGTAAAATATGCAAATGAGGTCACTGATGATGTCACACACTCAACCCAATATAATATCAAGTATATAAATAGATCTGTCTTGGCCAATTTGCAGTGCAGACCATTACAACTTGGTAGGCTAATAGCTCTACAGGAAGCACACCTACAGCTATAAAAAAATTCTGTTGCCATGGTAACTTACTCTTTTCCAGTCCCCACCCACTTGATTTCAATATGTTAGTGATTTTCAACTCAAAAAACCTTAAGTGAGGTCACAAACTGGAGCTAACATATTTATATGCTTGCTGGATCATGCATATGAGGCACCATTTGCAAATAGGAAAATGGAACAGCAAAGGTGGCAGAAATGCCTTTAATATTGGGGAGGTCTGGAACCCAGTATGTTGCCATGGTAACCAAACTGATAGGCTTGTATTGTAGAGCACATTTAATAGAATCCTCCTGCAAAGAATCAAACATTTCTGATGCAAATTGGCTGAGATATCTTTTTTCATATTTGATCAAAATTTGGTTGAGTGTATGAAGTCATCTTTTTGCCAATTTACATATTTTAAAAACTTGAATATCTCTGGAACGAAAAGAGATATTTAAAAATAGTAAACAGCTTTTTTCTCCTCTTACAGGTACTTGTTTATGTTTTAAAATGGCTTTGATAGGAAAGATGCGATTTTCGTCATAGTACCACTTTAAAATGTCACATTTTACATGCACTTAATTCGGCAATTAGATTTGGTGCATGTAAACTGCGATGTTTAAACCAGGCCTAAATGGATCTTTGAAAACTGTATATTTGTACTGTGGGTTGAAATCTAATTAAATCCTTGATTTTGTCTAGAAACCTTTGACAGGTACGAGATTGAAGGTGGTGGAACAGGCATTTGCAAAAGCTGACAAGACTGGTGATGGTGTACTGACAAGTGAAGATTTGAGGAAGTAATTTGCATACCACATTTATCATTATTTAATTGTTGTTATAAACACATGACTGTATATATATACATTTGAACATTTTTACGAAAAGTGTTTGTGAAATGAATGATTCCAGAAAATATCCATGCCACACCACAGGTGGCATCGTGGAATTCCAAGGGAGAGGGGGTTTCTTGAACTGAAATTCTGAAGGCATGGGGGGTAATGCAGTTTGGAATTCCGAACACATTGGGAGAGGGAAGGGTTCAGCTCTGAATTTCCAGAGGGGGAAGATAATGAAAGCTTCGCTTGAAATCGCTGATCTGATAACTTTTCCAGTTTGTAATGAACTGACATTGAACAAACAGGAATTCCAAAGGGTCTGGAAAAAAATCAAAAATTCCGAAGGGGAGATTATGCAGGCGAAGTTGTATTCGCGTCTGACATGTGCACAAAAGCACCAAAAGTGCAAATTTGTCCCAAGACTTTTTTCCATGATTGTTGGTAATGTAGGTACTGTAAGTGTTGCATTGTAAGTAGTTTTGTCTGTGAATGGGGATATAAATAAATACCGGTAAGTTACAAAAAAAATACAAGCCATGCAATATAATATAAGCTTGCTATATATCTTGGTAGCGAGGCGCAGTGGCCTCATGGTTAGTGCGCTCGTCTCCGGATCGAGCGGTCTGGGTTCGAGCCCTGGCCGGGGACATTGTGTTGTGTTCTTGGGCAAGACACTTTACTCTCACAGTGCCTCTCTTCACCCAGGTGTATAAATGGGTACCGGCGAACTTAATATGCTGGGGGTAACCCTGCGATGGACTAACATCCCATCCAGGGGGGAGTAGAAATACTCCTAGTCACTTCATGGTACAGAAACCAGGATAAGCTCCAGCCTGGTGGGCCACTTGGCTCATATACAAACTTAACCTTTTTTACCTTTATCTAGTATGTATGAGGATCCAGTTAATTAATTAAAAATACAATGATGTACTTACAGTATTTTAGAAGCAACCATAATTTGGATTAATTGAAAGTGCTAAATGTTGTCAATAGCCCAGTTGAAGTATGGTAGGTGTTCTTAAACTTTCATGTAGCTGTATGGATTTTGTTGTACATTTTCAGAGAACATGCAGGATTCTAACAATGTTGTACAGAAGCATTATTCAAACTGATGGACATGGTGGTGCAGCAAAATGGAAGGTAAAAATGACTGACATTACAGACTGTTATTTAATGTAAATTTGACTATTAATCTTATATTTCCTAGTAAATGGCCATGTAATAAAGCTTATTTGTAACTTTAAACTGACTTGGATACAGAACTTTATTCTGTTTCAGAGGATTCATTAAGGGCTGGCAAATTGACTGGCTTTACATGTAAGGATGATTTTGCCTGTCTGGTCTGGTTTGACCATCTAGTGGAAGGTTGTTCTTTTAAATAGGTTCAATTCAAAAAGTTTTGCCTGCCTGTGAAATCCAGTTGCCTACTTGCTGAAAACATTGATGAAACCCCTGCTGTTTGACCACAAGAGCTTTAATGTGCAACGTTAGATTTGCAGTTCATAGTACATGTACTGTGAATGTACATTCAGTTCTGTACATGCATGACAGACTAGCATTTTGCCTTCTGTGGAACTCGAGTTTCTTGAGTTTCTGTTGGTTCAAAATAATACAAATAAACCCAAAGTATGAAAAAAAAAAATTCTTTAAATTTTTGGTTTTCAGGTCTGCCTGTTGTTAAAAGTTTTTCTTCAAAGTGTGGAACCCTGTCTTCGTTTTATCGATGAGTGGGTCACATCAGGGTATGTCTGTGACCCACATAATGAGTTTTTTATTGAAAGGTCAGTTAAACTGTTAAATTACTTATTAATAATATCACTAATATTATACTTAAATTCAATTTACTGTTGGTTTAGTTTGCTAAAACCCATTTGTACTAGTAAATAGCAGAGGCACCGTGCTTGTAGCAGGAATTATAGCTCAGCACAATAACAGTGCTGACAAGTGCTTTCCTAAAGTACAAGCAATATGTATCTTGATGTTGTTTTTTTATGGGTACATTATTACTGACAGTAACTACTTATTAACTGAGAGTTAAGGTCGGCACACACGAGGGAACTTGTCTATGTAACTAGTCCCTGCAACTAGTTGAGGGGACAAGTCTCATTGTGTGAACTAGCCATTTTTACCACAAAATCGAGTTATAGGGACTAAAATTTGGTCCCTGTGACTAGTTCCACAAATTCAAACCAGTTTGAATTTTTGGGAAAAGTCCCAGCGACTTGTTCCTCAAAACGCATCGTGCAAACTGTTTGTGGGACAAGTCCCTGCGACCAGCCCCTTCGTGTAAACTCTT